TACATATTCTTTTCAGCAGCCCATGGTACTTTCTTCAAAATAGATCATATTTTAGGACATAAAGCAAGTCGTAAGAATTTTAAGAAAATAGAAATTACCCCCTGTATTCTATTAGGCCACAATGGAATAAAATTAGAAATCAACAGCAAAGAAACTACAGAAAATATCCAAACACTGGGAGACTGAAGAATATATTGTTGAATAACCAGTAAGTCGTTGCAAAAATAAGGGGGAGGGGGAAATCAAAATGTTCCTAGAATCTAATAAAAATGAAAACACAACCTACTAGAACATTTGGGATATAGCAAAAAGCAATGCTGAGAGGAAAGTTTATACTTTTGAGAGCCTGTATAAAAAACCAGAGAAATAGCAAATATATACCTAATGATGCACCTTAAGCTCTTAGAAAAAGAAGAACAAGTTAATTCCAAAATAATTAGTTGGAAAGAAGTAATAAAGATTAGTACATAAATTAATGAAATGGAGATAAGAAGAATAACACAAAAAATTAAGGAAACTAAAGGATGAGTATTGAAAGCTGTAGAAAAAGGGGGGTGGGAGGTAAAGTGGTAAGGGAGAATAAAGGAAGGGTTAATAGACCAAAGTAAAATATATCCACAATGGGCATACATTGAGACACCCCTTTGAACATCAACTTAAATATTAATAATGAAATCCAGGACTGTAAAATAGGTACAATACATTTGTGTGTGTGTGTGTGTGTGTGTGTGTGTGTGTGTGAGGGGTACTAGGGGGAGAGGGTAAATGAAGGAGATTAAGGTGACAGTATATGGTAGATGGACTTCCTATATCTATATGAAACAAAGCTAAGAAACCTCTTGTAATTGCTTTAAGTGGGGCAGTTTGTAGGCTGGGGGGGAGAGATGATGGGGGCAATATAATTACTGTACAATATAAGCCTAATCCAAATTGTCACTTTGAATCTCCCCCATGTGTAATGAATATATACTAATAAAAATTTATATGAAAAGATTGATAAACCCTTAGAAAAACTAACCAAAACAAGGGAAGAGGAGACTTAATCACAGTTAGAAATGAAAAAAGAGATCTCATAACAAACATCAATGAAATTCAGAGGATCATCGAGGGATACTTCAAAAATCTATATTCTACTAAATTGGAAAATCTAGAACAAATGGATAAATTTCTAGACTCATATGTTATGCCTAAATTGAACCAAAAAGATAGCAATAACTTAAACAGATCTATAATGAGCAACAAAATTGAAACAATAATAAAAATTCTTCAAACAAAGTAGAGCCCAGGACCAACTGGACTTAGGGCTAAATTCTCCCAAACCTTTAAGAAGAACTAGCACCAATGCTACTTAATTTATTCCATGAAATAGAAAGGAAAGGAATGCTACAAAACTAATTTTATGAAGCTAGTATTATACTGATACCAAAAGCAATGAAAGACACAGCAAATAGATGAAAAAAAAATTATGGTTCAATTTCCTTGATGAACATAGACATAAAATCTCTCAATAAAAAACTTACAAAGAGAATTCAACAATCCATTATAAAGCTCACACAACATGGTTAAGTTTGTTTCATTTCAGGCATGCAAAGATGGTTCAACATACACAAATCAGTGACTATAATACACCACATAAATAGAATCAAAGACAAAATTCTTGCTATCATCTCAACAGATGCAGAAAAAACCTTTGACAAAATTCAACATCTCCTCATGATAAATGCTCTGAAGAAACTAGGAATAGAAGGAATGTATATCACCATAATAAAGGTTATATATGACAAAACTTATACTAATTTGGGAAAAACTGAAACCATTTCCTCTAAATTTGGGAATGAGAAAAGCATGTTTTACTCTCTTCATTCTTTTTCATTATAGTGCTGTAATCTGTAGCCAGTGCAATAAGGCAAGAGGACTGGAGGTGTGCTTGAAGTGGTAGAGTGACTGCTTTGCAAGCACAAAGCCCTGATTTCAAACCCGGACCTACAAAAAAAAAAAAAAAAAAAAAGCTGGGGATCCAAGATGGTGAGTAGGGTGCAGAAGCAGACAGTGTGAGCTCCATGAATCAAAAGTCTTGCTGAGATGCTGGAGCCACACTTGGCAGAAATAAAGCAAAAAGCAGAATCAAAAGTTTGACACTCTGAACCCCTAGCCTGTGGAAAACTTCTCCGTGCCACGTTACACTGAGAAAACAGGTGAGCTGCTGCTGCTGCTGCTGCCAGACACTGGCTCCAAACCTGCTTGGGAGACATTTGGCATGCCAAACAGGTGAGCACCAAGTGTCATGTGGTATTCCCCCAGCCACCCCTGGGACAAACCAGCATAGCCGCTTGGGCAGACTGACCCCCCTGCAAAAAACAAAACCAAAAACTGAACGATAAACAAGGAGCTGAAAACTAACACGCAGCAGAGGGAGACAGGATGCTGAAAGCACACCAGAGAAGGTGGGAAGGGCAAGGAGCTGATCTCTACATGAACTTTCAGTAAGCAAAGGCTGGAAAGGCAGAAGTGCTGACAGTGGGCCGGTGATAAGCCGCTGCCTGAAATAGGGCAGGAAGTGGTCCACAAAGCTCATCTCCTGAGCCAGTGAGCAAACTAAAGTCAAGCGACACTGTGAAATTGAAAAACAGTCAAGCAAACCATCACAACAAGCTGACAGTGGGGGGCCAGCTGACAGATCACAGACCTTGCCCCAGAGAAATGGGGTGAGGCAAGAAACAAGCCTCCAGTAAACAAGCATGGTGAAAACCCAACTCCAAAGCAGGACAGGTGGTGAGCTACAGAGCTGATCTCTGGAACCTGAGAACAACATACAAACTTAAACTGCCACACCTCACTTAGGGAGGAGCTGACTAAGCAGCTGCTGCTGAAAGAAAGAAGAAAAGAAACACTACCCAACCACCTGGAAAGACTACGACAGAGCTTCTGCTTAAACACCAACACCAGGATTAGATGCTGTAGGAGTAACACCAGAACTTAAACTAAGACTGAAACTCTATTGTTCCTGAACCTGGAGGTTTTTGTGTGTGTTTGTTTGTGTTTGTTTGTTCATCTCTCCCCATTGATTTCTTTGGGTTTTTTTGTTTGTTTTGTGCATTTGTTTGTTTGTTTTCTTTCTTGTTTCTTTGTGTTTCCTTGTCCATCTCTCCCCATTGATTTCTTTGGTTTTTTCTTTTTTCTTTTTCTTTTGTTTTGTTAGTTTTACTATTTTGAGTTAGTTAATACTAAATTACACCCAGACCAGAGACAGAAATAGCATACACACACTAAGCTAAAAACCCAATACAGCCACAAAACAAAATTAAACCAAGGGAAAGAAAACAGGTTTCTGAAACCACCAACTAGCTGATCAAGAACATAGTTACACAGCACCAAGTGGAGTGATGGGAAGACAAAAAAGGGATGGAAACCATTCTCCCCCCCAAAGAAAGTTTAATAAGGATTCAGAGGGAAATGAATAAAACTGATACCCAGTTCTGGACTCCAACAAAACTATGATAAACGATGCCAAGGAACACAACATGCCCACAAGAACATGCTCAAAGAAGAAATCCTGTAAGTAATCACTGATAATTTCATGGAGATGTTACTAGACATGGTTAACCAAAACATACAAGAGGCACTCAAGAAATTTCAAGACACCAAAAATAAAGAATAAGAGAAGACACAGAAACAAATAAATGAACTCTTAGGAGCCCTAAAACACCAAAGTGAAAAAGAGAACACTATAAATAGAGAGATAAATGAATTAAAGATGAAAATAGACAATATTAATGAGGAAGTGACCCATGATATGGAAAACCTCAGAAAAAAGAATGAAGCAGAAACACAAAGCACAATGGAAGGCCACTCAAGCAGACTACAACAAGCAGAATCTCAGAATCTCAGAACTTAAGATAAAATGGAAATTAAAGGAAAAGCTGAAAAGTTATTAGTGAAACAACACAATGCATGCAAAAGGAATGTGCAAGAACTCACTCACTACATCAAAAACCAAAATTGTGAATCATGGGCATTGAAGAAGGAGAAAAGGTACAAGCAAAAGGGATTGTAATATATTTAACAAAATAATAACAGAAAATTTCCAAAACCTAGAAAAAGATATGCTCATTCAGTTGCAGGGAAGCCTCCAGGACACCAAACAGATTTAACCCAAATAAACTACCCCATGACATATTATCATTAAAACAATAAGCACAGAGAATAGAGAAAGAATACTGAAGACAGTAAAAGAGAAAAAACAAATAAAATACAAAGGTAAACACATCAAAATCACAGCAGATTTCTCAATGGAAACCTTAAAAGCAAGGAAGGCATGGAGCTCTGAGGTCTTCTGGGCACTGAATGAAAACAACTTCAACCCTAGAATACTCTACCCAGCAAAACTATCATTCAAAATAGATGGAGCAATAAAAGTCTTCCACAATAAGCAGAAACTAAAACAATATATGACCACCAAGCCTCCACTACAAAAGATTCTTCAAGGAATTCTGCACACAGAAAATGAAAGCAAACAAAACCATGAGAGGACAGGCATTACCAAACCACAGGAGAAGAAAAGACAAGGAATCAGAGAGTAACATTGATTCAGCTGCACACAATCAAACCCTTAAACAAAAAGACAACTAAATGACTGGAATCACACCTATCAATATAAACACTGAATGTTAATGGAATTAACTCCCCCATAAAAAACACCATTTGGCAAACTGGATTAAAAAGGAAGATCCAACAATCTGTTGTTTATAGGAGACCCATCTCATTGACAGAAACAAGCACTGGCTTAGGGTGAAAGGCTGGAATAAGATTTACCAAGACCATGGCCCCCCAAAACAGTCAGGAGTAGCAATACTTATCTCAGATAAAGTAGACTTCAAACTTACATTGATCAAACAAGATAAAGAAAGACACTCCAGCTGTGGTGCTGTTTGTGTGCTCGTTCGGTGTGGACTGGGTACCTCTTTTGTGAAGCAGCAGCTGAGGAGACTCCAGCGTTCACCATGGCCAATGAAAAGCCCAAGGAAGGAGTCAAGACTGAGAACAACGATCATATTAATTTGAAGGTGGCGGGGCAGGATGGTTCTGTGGTACAGTTTAAGATTAAGAGGCATACACCACTTAGTAAACTAATGAAAGCCTATTGTGAACGACAGGGTTTGTCAATGAGGCAGATCAGATTCTGATTTGATGGGCAGCCAATCAATGAAACAGACACACCTGCACAGTTGGAAATGGAGGAAGATACAATTGATGTGTTCCAGCAGCAGACAGGAGGTGTCTACTAAAAAGGGAAGCTGCTACTTCAGAACTTTGTTGTTCTAATAGACCAAGAATACATTCTCAATTAGAATGTATAGACTCCAACACAGTGGTAATGGGAGATTTAATGCCCCCTTATCACCAATAGATATATCATCCAAACAAAAAATCAATAAGGGCTGACATTATTGAAATAGAAACAACAACAACAAAAATATACAAAGAATCAATGGAACAAAAAGCTGGTTCTTTGAAAAAATAAATAAGATTGACAGACCCCTGGCAAACAAGACTCAATTAGGAGAGGAAAAAACTCTAGTCAGTAAAATCAGAAATGCAAAAGGGGAGATAACAATAAACACCATGGAAATCCAGGAAATCATCCAGAGACTACTTTGAGAACCTATATTCCAATGAATTTGAAAATCTTGAAGAAATGGACAAATTTCTTAATACTTATGACCACCCAAAATTGAGGATATTAATCACCTGAATAGATCTATAACACAAAATGAAATGGAAGCAGCAATAAAAAGTCTCCCAAAAAAGAAAAGTCTAGAACCTGAAGGATTCCCTGCTGAATTCAATCAGACATCTAAAGAAGAAATAATACCAACTCTCCTTAAACTGTTCCATGAAATAGAAAGGGAAAGAACACTGCCTAACTCATTTTATGAAGCCAATATTACATTCATCCCAAAACCAGACAAAGACACCTCCAAAAAGGAGACCTATAGGCCAATCTCCTTAATGAACATCAATGCAAAAATCCTCAATAAAATAATTGCAAACTGAATCCAACAATACATCAGGAAGATCACTTACCATGACCAAGTCAGCTTCATCCCAGGGATGCAGGGGTGGTTCAACGTACGCAAATCTATAAATGTAATACAGCACATTAATAGAAGCAAGGACAAAAACCACTTGATCATCTCAATAGATGCAGAAAAAGCCTTTCACAAGATCCAACACCATTTCATGATAAAAGCTCTAAGAAAACTAGGAATAGAAGGAATGTATATCAAAATTTTAAAAGCTATATATGACAAACCTACAGCCAACATCATACTTAATGGTAAAAAACTGAAACCGTTTCCCCTAAAATCAGGAACAAGACAAGGGTACCTACTATCCCCACTGCTATTCAACATAGTACTGGAATTACTAGCCAGAGCAATTAGGCAAGAAGAAGAAATAAAAGGAATACAAATAGGTAAAGAAACTGTCAAAATATTCCTATTTGCAGATGACATGATCCTATATCTTGAAGACCCAAACAACTCTACCCCAAAACTCCTAGACACCATAAACAGCTACAGCAAGGTGGCAGGATAGAAAATCAAATTATAGAAATCATTAGCTTTTCTATATACCAACAATAAACAAATTAAGAAAGAATATATGGAAACAGTTCCATTTACAATAGCCTCAAAAAATATCAAATACCTAGGAGTAAATTTAACAAAGGATGTCAATGACCTCTACAGGAAACTACAAACCCCTGAAGAAAGAGATCAAGGAAGACTACAGAAGGTACAAAGATCTCCTGTACTCATGGATTGTTGGAATCAACATAGTAAAAATGGCTATACTACCAAAAGCAATCTACATTACTTTGGTTTATTTATTCATTTATTCATATATGCATACATTGTTTGGGCCATCTCTTCCCTCTGCCCCCCAGCCCACTCTCTCTCCCCTTCACTCCTCTTGCTTCCAGACAGAACCTGTTCTGCCCTCTTCTCCACTTTTGTTGAAGAGAAGACATAAGCAGTAATAAGAAAGACAGAGCATTTTTGGTAGTTTGAGATAAGGATAGCTATACAGAGAGATTCCAAACATTGCTTCCATGCATATGTGTATTACAACACAAATTGTTTCATCTCTACCAGACCTCTTCACTACTTCGCAGTCACCTTCCCATAGTGGCCTCTGTCAGTTTAATGTTACTATATTAGCTCCTCTATAGTGGGTGGACACATCAAACACTTTCAAGTTTTGGGTTTCCTTCCTTTCCCTATTCCTCCTGTTTCTGTCCTTCCCTTAGTGTGTGACCATGTCCAATAATATTACTGCATTTGTTTTAGATATAAAGTCTGCATATGAGGGAGAACATACAATTTTTGGCCTTCTGAGTCTGGCTAACTTCACTTAAGCTGATGTTCTCAGTTCTATCCATTTACCTGTGGATGACAAGATTTCATTCTTCTTCATGACTGAGTAAAATTCCATTGTGTATAAATACCACATTTTCTAAATCCATTCATCAGTAGTGGGGCATCTTGGCTGTTTCCATAACTTGGCTATTGTGAATAATGCTGTAATAAACATGTATGTGCAGGTGCCTATGGAATAACTGGAGTCTCATTCTTTTGGGTATATCCCTAGGAGTGGGATTGCTGGATCATATGGCAGAGCTATGTTTAGTTTTTTAAAATCCTCCATATTATTTTCCAGAGTGGTTGCACTAGCTTGCATTCCCACCAGCAGTGTTGAGGGTTCCGTTTTCCCTGCATCCTCGCCAACATTTGTTGTTGGTGGTGTTTTTGATGATAGCTATTCCAACAGGGGTGAAGTAGAATCTTACTGTGGTTTTGGCAATCTACATTTTTAATGAAATTCCCATCAAAATCCCAATGACATTCATCACAGAGATTCAAAATTTACCCTGAAGTCCTTTGTGTGTACAAGAGACTGTGAATAGCCAAGGCAATACTAAGCAAAATGAGCAATGCTGGAGGTATCACAATATCAGACTTCAAACAATATTACAAAGCAATAGCAATAAAAACAGGATGGTACTGGCACAAAAATAGACATGAAGACCAGTGGAACAGAATAGAGGACCCAGATATGAATCCACACAACTATGCCCACCTGATTTTTGACAAAGGTGCCAAAAACATATGATGGAGAAAAGACAGCCTCTTCAACCAATGTTGCTGAGAAAATGGTTATCTGTCTGCAATAAACTGAAACTAGACCCATGTCTATCACCCTGAACTAGTATCAATTCAGAATGGATCAAGGACCTCAATATCAGACTGAAACTGAAGTTAGTACAGGAAAGAGCAGGGAATACTTTGAAAGCATAGGTATAGGCAAGGACTTCCTCAATAGAACCCCAGCAGCTCAGCACCTAAGAGAAAGGATGGACAAATGGGACTTCATAAAATTAAAAAGCTTCTGCACAACAAAGGAAATTGTCTCTACACTGAAGAGATCACTCACAAAGTGGGAGAAAATATTTGTCAGCTATACATCAGACAAAGGACTGATGACTAGAATATATAGGGAACTCAAAAAACTAAACTCCCCCAAAATCAATGAACCAATATAGAAATGGGCAACTGAGTAAAGAGAACTTTCTCAAAAGAAGAAATGGCCAAAAACCACATGAAAAAATGTTCACCATCTCTGGCCATGAAGGAAATGCAAATCAAAACCATACTAAGATTCCACCTCACACCTGTTAGAATAGCCATCATCACAAACACCACCAAGAACAGGTGTTGGCTAGGATGTGGGGAAAAGGGAACCTTCGTACACTGCTGGCGGGAATGCAAGCTAGTGCAACCACTCTGGAAAACAATATGGATGCTTCTTAAAAATCTAAACATAAACCTGCCATATGATCCAGCAATCCCACTCCTAGGGATATACCAAAGGAAAGTGATGTTGGTTACTCCAAAGGCACCTGCACACCCATGTTTATTGCAGCACTATTCACAACAGCCAAGTTATGGAAACAGCCAAGATGCCCCACCACTGACGAATGGATTTAGAAAATGTGGTTTTTATACACAATGGAGTTTTACTCCACCATGAAGAAGAATGAAATCTTATCATTTGCAAGTAAATGGATGGAACCGAGAACATCATCTTAAGTGAAGTTAGCCAGACTCGACCAAAAATTGTATGTTCTCCCTCATATGCAGACTTTAGAGCTAAAACAAGTTCAGTAATATTATTGGACATGGGTCACATGCTAAGGGGAGGACAGAAACAGGAGGAATAGGGAAAGATGAAAATGTTTTTAATTTTAATTTTTTCATTTTTGGCTTTGTTGTTATTTCTTTTATCTTCATGATACTAGAGTTTGAACTCAAGACTTTGTGCTTATCAGAAAGGCATTTGACAGATTGAGACACATCTTGAATGCTTTTTGCTCTGGTTATTTTGGACATAGATTCTCACTTTTTGCCCAGTCCATCCTGATTCTCCCACATTTGCTGGAACAAAAAGTGTGTTACCCTGCCAGGTTTTTTCCATTGAGATGCAGTCTCACAAACTTTTTTTCCTGTGCTGGCTTAGAACAGTGATCCTCCTGATGTTAGCCTACCAAGAAGCTAGGATTATAGGTTTGAGTCACCAGTGCCCAGTTTCTTTTTATCTTTAGATGTGTTTTACATATACAGAATAGCAATTTGCTATTATAGAGAATTTATAACCATACCAAATGGTTTAAACATTCATACACAAATTTTTAGTCTAGTTTTACATAGCTGGTGCCTGATTGAAAGGAACTTTTAAGTTTTATTTAAGTCAACTTATTTTTTTTTCTTTTTGCTACAGCAACATAGCTTTCCCCTTAACCACTTCAGAAAGACTCTAAATGGTTTATACTGAAACATTACAAGGCTATTTCCTGTACATTTGTTCAGAAACTTAGTTTTATTATACTTCAACTGAAAGCACACAGGAGATTAAAACCTACAACCAAAGACTTGACTTTCAATGTATAAATCTCAATATAGAAATACAAGTAATATGAAGAAACAAGACAGTATGTCTCCTCCAAATTCAACAATTACACAATTAGGGGATTGAAAGATAGTGAAGTATATGAAATCTCAAACAATGAACCGAAAAGAATGATCAATGAAATTAAAGAGGACACATAAACACCTGAATGAAGTAAAAGAGAATACAAATAAACAAATGAATAAATTCAAGCAACACAAATTAACAGCTGAATGAAATAAATAAGGAGGCAAAGACAGGATATGAAAATAAGAAAGAC